CCCTAATGGCCACGTTGGTGCTGGAATTCCGGGTCATTCCCCACCCCAAAATATCCCATGGCTTCCACACAACAAAGAGAGCCAGCACACTTCCCAAACACTCCCAGGCTGGATTACGCCTGGACCTGGAATGTTAATTTAATGTTAATCAGGTTTTATTTGGGTTACATGCCCTAAAACTGGAATAATTGATTTGGGAAAGAGGAAAAAAAAAACAACAAGGTCATAATTTTAATCATTTCAAGTGGTTTTATTTCCTTAATATACTCCTAATACTTTTTTTTTCATTTTAGTAAATTGATGATTTTCACCCTAAAGTTGCTTTTCTCTTGTTTTATGGTTCCGATAACCAAGATTTGAGAACGTTTCCCATCAGGTCATGTTTAAAGAGGGCTCCCAAAATCCATTGGAATCCCTCAGCTCAGTCATTCCAGAAGTTCACTCTCTTCATATTTTCAAACAAATTGGGGTTTTTTAATGCTGAAAAAAATTAAGCTAAATAAAAATAAATGCTATTTTATTCAGAACAAAACCCCAAGTTACCAGGCTGGAAAAATTCCAATTCCAGCAATTTTGCCTCCCTAATTCCCCACCTTGGAAAAAGAGAATCTCAAACTTTTTTGTGGACATCCATGAAAACTTTAACATTCAGAGATGGAAAAAAAAAAAGGGTTATTTGAGGAAAGAAGTAAAACAAGAAAACCTGAGGATAATCCAGCTGTGGATAAACCACCAAAACCACTTGGAAAAAAACAGGAATTCCTCTTGGAGATGGAGACTGGATATTGAGATTGGAGATTGGGATTGGAGATCAGGACTGGAGATTGGGATTGGAAATAGAGATTGGAGATTGGGAATAGAGATTGGGATTGTCCCCCCAGGGAAGGAGAAGTTTTGGGACAACTCAGTTGTGGCTTCCAGAATATGAAGGAGTTGACAAAAAACAAGGGAATGAACAATTCCCAAAGGATGGAGGGACAGGATAATGGGAATTCCACCTCAAGATCGTTTTAAGTTAGGGGAACTGAAACACATCAAGCATTTCCAGAAAATAATAAATCCCCCCAAAAAACTGCAAAATTCCTCCTTAGATTTGAAAAAACATGGATTAAATATGATTTTAGAGAATCCTAAACCCTAACCCTAACCCAAACCTAAACCTAAACCTAAACCTAAACCTAAACCTAAACCTAAACCTAAACCTAAACCTAACCCTCCTGTGATTCCCCATCTCACATGGGAGGTGCAGACCTGAAAGAGCAAAGGAAAAAATTATTATTGCTAATTAATGCTTAATAAAGCGGGATTTTCTGCGGGCTCAGCAGCTCCCAGGGGAAGTCTGGAGAGAGCGCCGGGTTCTGAGTCAGCAGTGATGGCACAGAAAGCAAAGATCTCTGAAAAACATCTTTAAATTCCTGAATCATTGTTTGTCCTTCTTCATCCTCACCCCAAAACCTTCCTCCTCCTCCTCCTCAGGGGCTTGGAATGATCCCTGGATTTCTCCTTCCCTGGAAATCGCATTTCCCCTGTGATTGCTCTGACTCGAGCTGCTGCCAAAACAATTTAATTTTAATTTTAATTTTGATCCTCCCCTTGCCATCTCAGTGCTCTCTGATCTCGCGACGATGTCAAACCCTTGTTTTTCCCACCCAACCCCTCATCTGCCCGACACCCGGCGGGAATTGGGCAATTTTTGGTGCCGATTTCCTCACGGGGATTATTAAAAAGTCTGAGGTGAAATCCCAGCACCGGCTGTTGATTCAGCGGGGAAGGAGAACCAGGGAGGAGCCCAAGGCCTCACTCCTTTCATCTCCTGCGCCGGCTCTGAGCCAGGAATTCTTTGTTTGGAGAAACAAAAACAGGGGATGGAGAGGACAATCCACATGGGGATATTGGATTGGGGGATTTTGATACATTTTGGGAAAAAAAATCGATATGAAAGCTCACAGCAAAATAAATCTTCAGCTCGGGAGTTGTGCCAAGGGTGGGAATTGCCCTTGGGGCGGGCGATTCCATTTTGGGATGTCTGACATCCCAAAATCTCCAGGATTTAAAGGAACGCCAGGTGGATTCTGGGGAGAAACAATGGCCAGAATTACCTTGACTGAGAGACAAAAGCGAAAAATAAAAAGGCATTTGAGGGACAATGGGCACAAAGAGGGCAGGAGCGGTTCCCTTCCCCCGGGGCAAAGTGAGGCTCTATAAAAGCTCCTGCAGCCAGATTTTAAATCATTTTTCTGCCATTCTCATCCCATCTCCTGCTGTGCCACCACGTAAGTCAGGTCTGGGGGTCGGGCAGGGTTCGATTTACCTCTTAAAAATTCACAGGGAGAGGTGGGAGATGGTTTAAGATTTGGGAACAGAACAGTCGGAAATAAATGAGGCAAAACGCGTTAGTTCTGAGATGAATTTAATAAATGAATATTTGGAATATGAATATAAGATATATGAGTATAATAAATATGAAAGTTGAGAATAGAAATATTGGAAATGTGAATATCGAAAAGACGAATATTGAAAAATATTAATATTTGAATGAGTGAATGAATGACTATAGGAAATATGAATATAAGAAAGATGATCATTGGAAATATGAATATTGAAAAGATTAGTAATTGAATGAATGAATATTAGAAATATGACCGTTGGAAATATGAATATTGAAAAGATGAATTTTAAAATATATTAATATTTGAAATATGAGTATAATAAATATGAACATTGGAACTCTGAACACTGAAAACATTAAAACTGGAATGTGAATATTGGAATATACGAATGTTGGAAATATGAATATTTGAATAAATAAATAAATAATAGATATAAAGAGTAATTAATAATAATAACTAATAATTAATGATGATAAATAATAAATAATAAATAATAAATAATAAATAATAAATAATAAATAATAAATAATAAATAATAAATAATAAATAATAAATAATAAATAATAANAATAATAAATAATAAATAATAAATAATAAATAATAAATAATAAATAATAAATAATAAATAATAAATAATAAATAATAAATAATAAATAATAAATACGTGAGGGCTCCCCGTTGCTCTGTCCCCTCACGTTGTCCCCTCTGTGTCACCTCCAGCCTCGCGATGTCCTTCCAGCAGCTCTGCCCCGTGTCCTGCCCCCAGCCCTGCGCGGACACCTGCAGCCAGCCCTGTGTCACCTCCTGCGGGGACTCCCGGGCCGTGGTCCACCCTCCGCCCGTGGTCATCACCTTCCCGGGGCCCATCCTCAGCTCCTGCCCGCAGCAGAGCATCGTGGGCTCCGAACTCCCAGTGGGAATGGGAAATTCCTTCGAGTCCGGAGCTGTCCAGAGCTCCATCCAGTCTGGAGCTGTCCAGAGCTCCTTCGAGCGCGGAGCAGCTTCTGCTGGCTGGAATTTCTCCTCCTCCTCCTGCTACTCCTACCCCTCCTATCCCCGAAATTCCTACCTCTCTTATTCCCGAAATTCCTACTCCTCCTATCCCCGACATTCCTACCCCCGTCCTGCCAAGCCCAGCAAAGGTTTGGGTTACCAATTGCCGCTGAAAAAGAAGCAAATCGGGAAAGAGTGAGCGAGGGGAGGACTCCGAGAGGGGCCGGGGCTGCTCCTTCATCCCAGGAATGATCCCAGGAGTGATCCCAGGAATGATCCCAGGAGTGATCCCGGGAATGATCCCAGGAACAATCCAGGAGTGATCCCAGCCCTACAATTCCCTCTGGATGGATCTCCGCTCGCAATTCCCATCGATTCTGCCTTGCTGTGAATTTTCCCGAATTCCTCTGAATTCCTCTGTAATTCCCTCTGAATTCCCCTGGGATTCCCAGCGGCGCTGCTGTCACAGGATGAATCCCATTTCTCAGCACCAATAAAATCCTTTCTGCATCACGATTTGGAGTTTTCTGTTCGGGCGGGATGAGCTCTTGGAGCAGTTCTGGAGTGGATATTTAATTTTTCATGGAATTCTTTTCCAAGCACTGCGCAGCCCTCTCCCACCTGGTTCCCTGGGAAGGTGAAATGGGAATTTTCTGACAGATGAATCCATAAAAACATTCCCTGGAAGAGCCAAACCCTCCTCCCAAGATCTTTGGGATAATGGGACAGTTTGGTCCCATGGGTTTGCAGAGGTTTTATAAAAAAGATAAGAAATCCAAGGGATTTGAATGCAAACACAGAAGTTTATTGGGATAAAAGTGGACAAACAGTTCGGGGTTTTGGGAGGGAAAAGGCAAATTTGGAGATAAGTGACATTAAAAATAAGAAGGAGGAGAAGAAGAGCAGCTCCCAGGGGTGCTGAGGAGATTCCAGGGGTGCTGAGGAGATTCCAGGGGTGCTGAGGAGATTCCAGGGGTGCTGAGGGGTTTGCATGGAAGTTGAGCATTTCCCACAGGTTCTGAACAATTTCCTTGGATTCTGAGCAGTTCCCATGGATCCTGAGTAGTTCCCATGGATTCAGAATAGTTCCCATGGATCCTGAGCAGTTCCCATGGATCCTGAACAGTTCCCATGGCTCCTGAACAGTTCCCACGGATCCTGAGCAGTTCCCATGGATCCTGAGCAGTTCCCATGGCTCCTGAACAGTTCCCATGGATTCTGAGCAGTTCCCATGGATTCTGAACAGTTCCCATGGATCCTGAGCAGTTCCCATGGATTCTGAGCAGTTCCCATGGATTCAGAACATTTCCCATGGATCCTGAGCAGTTCCCATGGATCCAGAACATTTTCCATGGATCCTGAGCAGTTCCCATGGATTCTGAGCAGTTCCCATGGATCCAGAACATTTTCCATGGATCCTGAGCAGTTCCCATGGATTCTGAGCAGTTCCCATGGATCCTGAGCAGTTCCCATGGATTCAGAACATTTCCCATGGATCCTGAGCAGTTCCCATGCATTCAGAGCATCTCCCAGCCCCACAGAGCCACATCCCCGGGCTCAGCCCCTGCCCCAGCTCCGGCTGCCGCTCCCCCCGGTTCCCCCATCCCCTCTCCCGGTTCAGCAGGGCCCGCAGCCCCCGGAGCGCTGGCTCCAGGCGCTCCTGGAGGAGAGGAAGCCTCCATAGAGCAGGGAGCCCTGCAGGCCCGCGGGGCGCTCCATTCCCACTGGGAACGCGGAGCCCACGATGCTCTCCTGCGGGCAGGAGCTGAGGATGGGCCCCGGGAAGGTGATGACCACGGGCGGAGGGTGGATGACAGCCCGGGAGTCCCCGCAGGAGGTGACACAGGGCTGGTTCCAGGCGTCCGCGCAGGGCTGGGGACAGGACACGGCGCAGGGCGCGGAGCAGCGAGAGCTGAGCTGGCTGGAGAAGGACATCCTGGAACTGCTGCGGAAAGGGGAGCTAGGGTTGGAAATCAGAGCAGCAGAGCCCCTGCTCGTATTTTTCTCTCTTTCCCTTCTCCCTCTTCTCCTCACTCCTCTCTTTCCATCCCTTCCTCCAAAACCTCTCCAAAATCTCAGAAGAATTTTTCTCTTTCTCTCTTCTCCCTGTCCCTCTCTCCTGTTCCCTCCACCCCTCCCTCTCATACGGCTCCTCTGTTAAAACTCAGATTTTTTTCTCTTCTTCCCCTTCTCCCCCTGCCTCTCCCTCTCTGTCTCCATGCCTCCTTCCCTCCCTTCCAGGCATCTCCTCTCCAAAAGCTCAGATTTTTCTTCTTTCTCCCTTACCCCGTCCCTCTCCCCTCCCTCCCTCCCTCCCTCCCTCCCTAGCACTTGCTCTGGGAAAATCCTTTTTTTCTCCCTCTTTTCTTCTCCCTGTCCCTTTCTTCCCTCCTTCCCAAAAAGCTCCTCTCCAAAAACTCCAATTTTTCTCTTTCTTCCGTCTCCTTCTCCCTTCCTCCCTGGCAGCTCCTCAGAGCTCTCCCAGTCTCCCCAAGGAGCGACTCCCACCCCGGCCACCCCCAAAGCGTCCCCCGGACTCACTCAGATCCCGAAGAGGAGAAGCCCGAGGAGCTGAAATCTCAGGAATCCGGAGCTGGCTTGGGAGGAATTGGGAGCCGGGAGCCTTTTATCCATCCCGGGATCGCCCGCGGGGGTTGAGCCATCACCGGCGTTTCCCAACCCTCGGGAGGCGATCCCTGCCCGGGCTCCGGTTGTTTTATCTGCCTGGAATAATTATCAGTTTCTCCCAACACCCTCCAGTTTCTTCCTTGAGGTTTTTTTTTTAAAGCGGTTTCGCTTCCTGAAGCGTTTTGCTGATTTTGCCAAGTTGGTAAAAATGTTGAGGAATTAATTTTTTTGGGTGGAATTGCTCCACAGGCAGGGACAGCTTCCATAGACCAGCCCAGCCTTGGACACTGGCAGGGGTGGGAAATCCATGGAATTCCATGGGCCAGGCCATCACAGGGAACAATTCCTTCCCAAAATCCCACCCAAATTCCCCCTCTGTCCTCCTGGCCCCATTCCCTGTGTCCTGTCCCTGCAGTTCCTGAGGAAAAGTCCCACTCCAGCTTCCCTGGAGCCCCTGCAAGTCCTGGAGGATCTCTGGGGTCTCCACAGGCTCAACATTCCCAACATTCCCAGCCTGGATCCATCGGGGAGTGGCTCCAGCCCCCTGAGCAGCTTCATGGCTTGGGGACACCAGAACCCAGCACAGAATTCCCAGTGGGATCTCAGCACAGCAGAGCAGAGGGGGAGGATCAAACACCAGGACCCAAAATGAAGAATTTTAGGGTTCATTTGGGTTGATCCCATTGGGTTTTTCCTTTTACCCTTTCAGGAGGATGGGGAGGTTGGGACAGGGATTTCCAGGTGTGGTCGGGACAGGAGCAGCTTCCAGGGGTGGTTGTGGCCCCACAATTTCTCTTTTCCCCGGTTTTTCCTAGTCCTGGTTTTGGTTTGGGTGAATCCTCTTAACTGTAAATTCCAAGGGTTGGGAAAACTCAGGGAAACCCCAGGAAAAGCTCCCTCAGACTTCCTACCCCAAGAGTTACCAATGGAAAAAATGGAATAATAGGGACATGTTGGGACAGAACTCTCAGGGCTACTCAAAACCCTCACTGTTCACTTTATAACTCCATAAAGGGAGGGATTTTTTGGGGAAAAAATCTCATTTCTTGAGGAAATTTAGGAATAGTGTTGGGTATGGGAAATGGAGACTCAACAGGAAACGCAATCCATGAATGACTGGAGAAGGAGGAATCTGAGGAACAAATCTGCTGAAGTTGCAGCCAGACCTCTGCCTCAGCTGGAGCTGCAGCTGGACATTCCCAGGTTTTCCAGGGGTGAGGCACGGATCCCCTCCCTGACCTGGCTCACCCCAGTCCGTGAATCCTCCTCCCTCAGCAGTGCTGATCCCACAGATTCCCTAAAAAGTGGATGTGGATTTCTCCTGGAAAAGCCCCTGGTTACTCCCCCTGGACATTTCATGAGTGTTCCTTGACCAGGAGGATGGGAAGGAGCTCTTCCCATTCCCAAATTCCGTCAGAAGGCACCTGTGGATGAACGTGCCTGGAGTCGGAGTCACCGGAGTCACTGTGGGTCAATAATGGCAGAAATTGCACAATTCCCTTTTCCTCTGAAAAAGCCGGGTGGGATCCGGGCTATGTCAGCACCTCGTGGTGATGGATCAACCTCTGAGCAATCGTGAGGCAATCCCAGAAGTAGGAAAAAGCAACAATGAAAATCAAAAAAAAGAAATCATTACCGCGCCTGAGTAATGCCATGGATGTAACAACAACAGTAATAATTGCTGAGCGAAATAATCACTTTATCTGGGCCAGTGAGAGGTGGAGGGAATTTTTCTTGGATCATTCATCAGCCGTGGATGTTTCAGCTCCAGCTGATTGCCCAAGAAAAGGTATAAAAACCCTCTTGGCTCTGGGCTGCTCCAGCAAACCCTCCCGACTCACTCCGAGCTCCACGGGGTAAGTCCGAGCCTGGAATTGTTCCTGGAACTGTCGAGATCTGAACTGAGCTTTGCTTGGATCCCAAATTGTGGGGCCAGCAGGGCCGGGGCAGGGGTTGGGGTTACTGCTCATTTTGGGGGTTAACATTAATTTTGGGATTTACTGTTCACTTTGGGATTTACTGCTAATTTGGGATTTAATGTTAATTTTGGGGGTTCCTGCTCATTTTGGGGGTTACTGTTCATTTTGGGATTTACTGTTCATTTTGGGATTTACTGCTAATTTGGGATTTAACGTTAATTTTGGGGGTTACTCTTCATTTGGGATTTATTGTTCATTTTGGGGGCTACCATTCATTTTGGGGGTTTGCTCTTCATTTTGGGGGCTTACTATTAATTTTGGGGGTTACTGTTCGTTTGGGATTTACTATTCATTTTGGGGGTAACTGCTCATTTTGGGGGTTACTGTTAATTTGAGATTTACTGCTAAACTTGAGGGGTATTTTTGTGTCAAATCGACTCCATAATTAAGAGTCGGGACACATAGGAGACAAGGACACGAGAAGATGGAAAACGCCGCATTTTGAGCCTCTTTGTGATGCTTTTGCTGTCCGCTCTTTCTCTTCCCAGCCCAGCCTCCGTTAAATCGGTCTCTGACCTTCCTGCTGCCTCGGCTCTGTGGTTCCAGACCCATCCTCAATCCCAGGAGATGTTTCCCTACAGACAGAACTCCAGCTCCCGCTGCCTGGTCCCCTGCGGGATCTCCTGCCCCCAGCCCTGCGCGGACGCCTGGAGCCAGCCCTGTGTCACCTCCTGCGGGGACTCCCGGGCTGTCATCCACCCTCCGCCCGTGGTCATCACCTTCCCGGGGCCCATCCTCAGCTCCTGCTCGCAGGAGAGCATCGTGGGCTCCTCGGCACCCTCAAACTTCCTGGGATCCGGAAACTTCCTGGGATCTGGGGGTTCCTACGGCTCCTACGGTTACGGGAGGTCCTACTCCTCCTACGGATCCTCCGGGAGCTGCAGACCCTGTTAAACATCCCAGGAATGAGCAGGAAGGAGCCAAGAGCCACCACGGAGCCTCCACAAATCCCGGCAATTCCCGGAGCATCCTGAGCCCCAAATCCCGGCAATTCCCGGAGCATCCTGAGC